AAATGAGAAAACTAAACGCTCTGTGTGACAGAAAATCCACCGAGCTCTGAACATGACGTACGAGGACGTGAAGAGGCAGCGAGCAGAGAGAGAGAAGAGGTCAGTCTCACCATCTGAGCTCGGAGTGTTTAGGTTAACTCTGATGGGAGTTGCAAGATGTCAGCAGAGAACAGCACAACCTCAGGCTTCAATCTCCAGTTATTCTTTCAGTTATGAGGCTGATTTTATAATCCATGAATGAGAAATACGATAAATATAAACTTTCATGAGCAAAAACGCTGTTGAAAAAATCTTGGTTTTAAATTAGAAACACATGACCTTATGATGTTTTTTCAGTTCTTCAAGCTAAACGTCTCCCTTGGAGTTTAGAGATTTCTTATCCACATATTTCTCACTGACTTATGTGCATTATTCTAAGCCTAAGGTCTTTGTCTGTGTTCAGCTGTAACCTGCACAAGTCTCAGCCCCCTCCGGCCCCTCCCGCTCCGGGAGCTTCAGCCAAATGGAACAACGAGGCGAGCAAGGACGCCGCTGCCGCAGCTACCGCCGCTGCTGCCAAAGATGCCAGAGACTTCAAAAGAGTCCACTTCAACCTGGAGACGCTGAACACCCGCCGTCTGCTTGCTCGTCTTGCAGTCTCTGAAGCCAAGGGAGGCAGCGCCATGGCTGAGAAGGAGGGTCCAGCCAAGCCGAAGGCGGGGCCAAACAGCAGGCTGTGTGAGAATGGAGGACCGGCGGCTTCGTTCACCAACCGACTCCTCACGCTCCCCTCCTCATCCTCCTCTGCAAGACCCAATGCTTCAGCTCCACCCCCCACAGCTGCGGCGCTTTCTCCGCCTGCTACTTCCACCCCTGCCCCCGTTACCATAGCCCCGCCTGCCTCAGATGCCCCACCCCGTGCTGCTGTGGCTCCGCCCCGGCCTGGCGAGCTGGAGGAGCTCGAGGAGGAGATCGAACAGATGAGGGAGAAGTTACGGACAGCTCTGGCAAGGAGAGCTGAGATTCAGACGACTCTAACCAAACCCACCGTCACAGTGACAAGCACCCCATCATCCGTTACCACGACAACCATTATGGCAACCCCAACAACAACAGGAGCCACGCCCATACCCATACCAACCATTACCCCAGTAACAACCCTTCCTTCCAACATGAAATGCGTCACGACCATGACCGACCCGCCTCACAAAGTCCTATCTAAAGTCCGGCCCCTCCATAGCAGCCTGGCCAGTCAGAGGAGGTGATGTTCTCTGGAAAGGTCACGACACGGCGGCCATTCTAATCAGCAGTGAGGAAAAAAAATGTTCCTTTTATTTTGTTTAACTTTCTCAAGTTCTCAAAGAAGTTGATTGGACAGAAAACATCAAAGAGCCCTGAAGCTAATCAGATGATTGGTTACCTAATCAATATTTTTAGGCTGGATGAAATTATTGAACCCTTTAGAGTACAAACACTTTATATTTCCAGCTAAAATTAGAAATCCTGTGAAAACATTAAAGAAAAAATGAAATTGTTTCAATTACTTTATAAAATAAAAAATTAGTGTTGAGAAAATATGCTAATTTAAATCCATAAATCTTAAAATGAAAGTCAGAAGATCAGGTAACATGCTCCAAACCCGAACCTTTATTATTTTACACATTTCAAAGTTTGAATAATCACTCAAAGACCAGTTATTTTATACACTAAATTTATTATTTTGTAATATTACTAATATTAGTAATTAGTATTGAATTTGTCTTACTGTGAGTACAGTTTGTTTTTCAGGGTTTTTTACTCCTAAACGTCAAAGACAATCTATTTAAAATATTTTAATATGATATATTTATCACTTTAAAAGTGATGTTTTTTTTGTCAATTAAGTGCTCAATAAAAAAAAAAAACTTTTAATGTTTTTCAGTCACAAGTACAGCTTGTGAAGTCTAAAGTCTGTCAGATAAGTTATGTAAACTGAGGAAGAGAAGAAGACCAGGACGTGAGCCTGAGGTACACCGAATTTAATGAGTTCTTAGTTTGAGCCAAATACAGAATAATGTAGCAGTTGTATTATAGAAGTGCATATCCTAAAGAATCCAGAGACTTATTTTTGCATATTTTTACATATTTAGTAACAAAACAAATAAGTTTGTATATAATTAAAATAGCTGCAGTGAATCTAAAGATTTTATTCTTTATTTTTATATAAAATCAGAGTCTGATGTTCAGTTTCCACCTCTGACTGGTTAAAACGGCCGCCGTGACAGAGACTGAAGAGCATTTCTGGAACTTTCTAAAACTCTGGCGGTGCACAAAAAGCATGTCCACTCTTTAAAAATAAATTACAAGAAGTACACACACCACCAGACACAACATGAACAATAGAGCTGTTTCCTGTTGGGAACAGAAACGGTGGTGTTCATGCAATAACATCGTTTGTTCTTCACATAGACGTAACTCCTCTTCATGTAACATGAACATGGTTAGTGTAAGCAGTATGCCGAAGGTTTTTATTAGAGTCACTTCACTACAGACGTGAAACCTTAAATGTTCCCACAGAGCCTGAACCCATCCCCGATTGTGACTTTAACCCCACCAATAAGTTAAACTGCAGAAATATCTTAAAGACATAAACACCTGGATGACCTCTATTTTTCTGCTTCTAAACTTCTAAAAACTGAGGTTATTGTACTCGGCCCTGAAAATCTTAGAAATATGGTATCTAATCAGATACCTACTCTGGATGGCATTACCTTGGCCTCCAGTAACACTGTGAGTAATCGCGGAGTCATTTTTGACCAGGATATGTCCTTCAGCATCTACATTAAACAAATATTTATCTTTCTTCAAACATGTTTCTTAGAAACACTGAACTGCATCACTTTCCAAACTAAAGATGAAGAAATGTTCAGATTCTCCAGAAAACTGAAAACTTTTGTTAAACCTTCAAATGGTCTGAAAAGTTGAGGATGTTTTCACTCTGTTTGGTACATTTACAGGTTTCTCATAAAAAAGAAAGAAAAAAATTGATTTGTATTTTATTCATTCATTCATTCAGTTTGTTTTTAATCAGTTAAACTTAAATCTGAGAGATGAGCCTGAGTTTTAACTTTCAGATATTTTACTGAGTTAAATCCATTATTCATCCTGTTATTCTTCCTAAGTGTTTTTATGATAATTAATAAAACCGACTTTCTAATGAAGTCTGTGACGTTGTATTTTACTGGTTGATCTGATTTAACTGAGGAATCGGCTGGAGTTATTAAAAGGTTAAACCTCAGTGTCAGTCTAAAATTTGTCAAACCCTCTGTTTTATTCACAGCTAACAAGCTAGGTGTAGAATGATCGATCAGTGATTTGTTATAACACAGCTTTACTGAGTGTACAGTAAGCATCCATCAGTCATAACAATAACAATACCTCTTACTGCTGTAAAAGGTATTGCAACGACATAAAGCTGCCATACACCTTGGCTTAAACCAGTATAAGACGTCTTAGCCACAAGAGCATGCATGTAGAAAGTATGCAACTATGCTAACAGTTTCCTTTGTTTTCTAGCATTTACACTAAACTAACACAAATGTCATCTGCAGATGTGATGAAGGGTATACTCAGTCACTTTTTTCTTTATTTAATAGAAGAAAATACTGTACTCAAAAATATACATTGATTTGTGGGTAGCTACATCTCCCAACAATTGAGGAACCCTCATGAACTTATCATTAATGTATTAAAAATAGATAACAGCTGCCATGTTGCCCAACCATCTTGAATACAGTGATTGCTGTTCTGCCTAATCAGCACAGCGATTATAGACTGGCCTCATACCAGAGGTGGAGGAGAACAGAAATGGTAGGCATTGGTGTGCTGTGGACGGGCATTTTAATTCCTATCTGCATTTCAAACTGAAGATATCAAGGATCAAATCTATGTTTTATCATTAAAGAAGATAGAAACAAAAACATGAAAGGGACAATGCCACCACAATCTTATTAAAACCTAATCCTCTTTCTCCTCACCTCAAGTCTCATCTCCTGAAATGAAGTTGGGGCTCTAACACATGAAAATGTGCATAAACAAGTTATTTGCAATACTGTCATAGTTACTTAATGTGATCAGAAAAGAAACACAATCTGCTGACATCTATAGGTGAGATTTTACACCTTGTTTCCTGATGAGGTGTTCGCGGACCTGTTAGTTCTGGGGAGTTGTAATGCAATCAGTGTTCCTGTTCTTGATCTTGTGACATTTTTGGAAATTCAAACAGAAATGTGGTTGTTGTCACTTTAAGAGTTTCTCTCTTTTTATTTAAAAAAAAAAAATCTTTTAGATAATTTCATCTCAAATATTGAAACAGGTGTTTGTAAAAATAAACCACTGAACCTTGTTCACACAGAGAATTATAAACATTTAATCATATTTTTAAAAAAAATGTTACAGCTATTTTCTGATTGATCAGCTCTTGTTGAGAGCAGCTGCCAGCTGGTTGTAGCTCATCTTCCTCAGTATCTCCTCAGTTACCTCCTTGGCCCCCTCGGCGTGGTACTTCTGGACCATGAGGTCAACAGTTCTGGTTCTGTCTGCGGCCTCCAGTCGGCTGACGGAGATCGGATCAGTCCGGAGACTCAGGAAGCGCTGGAAGGTTTTCAGATCCTCTGAACCGAGACGGTTGAGCATCTGCAGCAGCTGCAGGGTCGCATCTTCGTCCTGCAAGTCCAGCACCTTCACTGAGATGGGAGAGACCGGAACACAGATCAGACCAGATCCACACACATTAACTGATCTGCAAGACCGGTAATGTTGTGGTGATGGAGCTGTCCTCCCTTAAGATGGTGTCGAAGAGGCCAAGATAAAGACAATGCTGGACAATACCTCCCACCCACTCTATGACGTACTGCCCAGTCACAGGAGCACGCTTAGCGAGAGACTGCGATTACCCATAATGCACCACTGAATGACACAGGAAATCATTCCACCCTGTGGATATCACATCCAACTAATGCACAGTACACACTGCAGTAGTTACACCATTTTGCACATCCCCTACAGTAAAATAACACATAACATATAAATAAAGTTTTACATTTTACGGTAAAATGTCAATCATATATTTTTAACCTTTGTAAGATTCTGGATATTTATAATTGAGCTATTTGTATATATTAAAGCTATTTTTTTATATTCTGTAATTTTGTAATATATTGCATTATTTCATTTCCTCTGGGATTAATAAAGGATTCTGATTCTGATGTTTATAGATCTGTCTGTGTGAACAAAAAGATCTGAGGTCACTCTGGATTAAACAGATTATTCAGATTAAGTCATCAGAAATGTTTGAAACTACAGTTATTAATTAAAGGACTCATTAATAAATTTTATGTTATCACTGTTACCTGATAAACATTTCTCAGGTGGAACAGCTGGATTTCTGATTAGCTGATGAAAGAGTCAGTAAGTTTGGTTTGATTAAAGCCTCTAAAGGACAAAGAGCATGTCTGGGGGCAGCAGTCTGAAACTGCTGGACACCAGCCAATTAAAGGACAGGATTCAGACGCATGAGCACAAACTGGGAGCCAGGAAAAAAACACTGGTCAAGACAGGCAAACGTTCAATGGAGATGTCTGGCTGAAACAAACAAAGAGAAGCTGCAGCTTCACGAGCCTCCATGACAAAGTGTATATCACGTTAACCATGATGTGTTTTCAGTTTGACTATGAATCAACTACAGACGCAGGTAAAAGAAGGTCACATGTAGTGTGAATTACCTTTCAGCTGGATGTCTCGGGCCCAGACCTCACACTCTTTGTTGCCAAACAGCCAGCCGATCAGACGGGATCCAGCCACATGACTCCTGAGCTGCAGCCTCACTTGTGCGGCTCCAGCCTTCAGCTGCACCTGGAATGATGGCAGGAAGTTGTTGTAGTCTCTGAAGTTCACAAACTTTGATGTCTGAAATGATAAAAACAACAAATGAGCTTCATGAGAGTGTGTGTGTAAAAATTAAGATCAGGGTCTAATCAGGAAGCAGCGTCAACAAACTCAGCTTCCTGTTTCTGAACAGCTGATGGAGTTCCAATTCGAGGATTCACCATGGCAATGGTAAACAAAGAGAAAGCAAAGCATCAGGTGAGAGCAGGTGAGAGCAGGTGCAGCGTCCAAGTGACATACCTCTGGCTGGATGACTGTGACGGGCTCTCCAATCAGTTTGTATGTGTGATTTGGGATCAGTTCGCAGTCAGGAATAGCTTCGATGTACTCAGCACCAATCCGACGCTTCCACTCCTTTCTCACCTGCACATCAGGTGAAGAGTCAGAGCCACAAAGACGGATTCAGGTATTTGTTACAGGTGTCAGAGGATATCGTTTCAAATATAAATCATTTGAAATTTAAACCTTTCACTGCAATTTTCATGGATATTGTAAGGACCCTTCAGGCAGGGCCTGCTTACCTGAGTGAGGCAGACATTCCTGGGCAGCAGCAGGACAAACAGTGTGGAATTAG